TGCAAAAATAATAAATGTTAATGAAATAATTGAATTTTTTTTTAAAAAATGCGAGTTAGACGTTTTTATTTAAAACTCACGTTTAACATATTTTTAACTATTTTTTATATTTGTTCGGACTATTCGATATGCCCATAATATAGTTCTCGAAATATGCTTTGAGATGACATAAGCAATTTGTAGATTCGATTAGCGTACGATCGTCGGAAAATTTTTAAAATTAGCATGTTATCGAAATTCAAATTTATTGTGATTTTGCCTCTATTTGGTGGAGATTAAAATAAATTTTTAGTAAATTTTGATGAAAGTTAAATAATTATGGATTTCATGAAATATGTTATTAAAATTAATTGTTAACTTTGATTTAGATTAAAATTTAGATTTCAATCGATACAAAACATAATTTTAAAAAAAATTCTCTAAAGTTGGGGCACGTGCGGATGCCCCTAGGATCCCCCTAGTCCGCCCATGCATGCATGTGAATTTCAAGGTTAGAATATCTAGCTTTGTAGTTGCTCTTCAAATAGAAATTTTCCTTAAAAAAGTAAATTGAAGAAGTGAAATATAAAAATGCAAGTAAATAATGATAGTCTTGACATGTTTTCGTACATATCAAAGGTGTCTCCAATTATTTCCTCTTTCTGTTATAAAATTCTTTGATTTGAACTGTGGAAACCATTATATAAATTCTATTTGGTTTAGAGTTTAAGTGGATCCGTGGCGCAATGGTAGCGCGTCTGACTCCAGATCAGAAGGTTGCGTGTTCGATTCACGTCGGGTTCAATCCCTCCCCTTTTTTTCTTTTTTTGGACCCCTTTCAGTTCTTGACTTGGATTCTGAAGTATGTTGGGTTTTCCCCGGTGTATAATCCAAAGTTGTAAATTTCTTCGATAATAATTATGCATTTAGGAAATGAACTTAAACATTCTAGTGACTGTGACGTATTTCGTAAAACATATTAGGTCCCGCTCTGGTAATTATTCTTTTAAAACTTTTTTTTTTGTCTCATACTCATTTTCAACCGCACACTTTAAAAATGAAATATTTTTCATGTAAACCCAATTTTTTTTTTCTAATTTTTAAGTTT